TATTGGTTTGGTTTGGGAACAGTCGGTGTGGACTAGTTGGATTGAAGGGTCTGTTTCCATGCTGTGTGACTCTAAGACCCTAACAGTCAAAGGTAGCACTGATATTGGGTTCATCAGTTCCGGGAACAGTCAGGCATTTCTGTGGCTGACATGACTCCAGAATATGTTGCTCGCCTAGTACTAGGGTCAAAGATGTCACAGAACAGCTGCAAGACATTCGTCATGGGGACCAGAGGTCATAGCCCACATTAGTATTGACAACACAAGTAGAAAAGGTGAATTAGGTCCTGCAATTAGGGAGCTAGAGAGAAAATTAGCAAGTAGGATCTCCAAAGTACTGGTTTCCAGATTACTCCCAGTGCCATGCACAACTGAGTAGAGAAGTAGCAAGACAGTTGAATGCATAGCAGGAAAAATGATGCAGGAGGGAAGGCTATACAAAGTCTCCTCACCCTGGCTCTGTGGGAAATGGCACCAGTATAAGCAAGGTGGTTTACGGCTGAACAGAGCCAGGAATGAGTTTATGGGAGGGTGTTTTGCTTGCGCTGTTTGAAAGGGTTTAAACTAGGATTGTAGGAGCCAACAGAAAACATTATTTGCAAAACATGAAATCTTGAGAAAGGCAAATAGCACAGAATACTAAGTCAATAAGTGAAATTGGTGTAATGAAGAAAGTAATGAAGTTTAATTCAGCGTTTCACTGTATGTCTGTGAATGCAGAGTTCATGAGCTTGAAGAGTTTGTTCGGATGGTTTAATGGGATTATGAGGTTGAGGCAATAGTGAAATCCCAGTTTAGCTTGAGCAAATCTAGGTGTTAAATGTTCCCAGTTATAGGTTGTTCAGAATACGTTGGAAAAGAAAGAAAAGTTGAAGGAGTGACATTTTCCAAGAAGAGCACTGAAGGACTGGAAAAGAGAGGATGTTTCAGAGGATTCAAGAACATAACAGATTAGGCTACAGCGAAGCAATAAGGAGGAATGAGGTGGGCCAAGTAGATCAAGTGACACTGGGAGAGCATTTCGGCGATAGCAATCATCATATTATTAGGCTTATGATGATGGAGGTAAATAACATCAGTCAATCCAGAATAAAAATAAAATCAGGTGAGCTGGCTTCAATGGGGCAAGAGCAGAGCTGAGTTGAATAGCACCATTTAGGACTCCTCAGATATTGAAGCTTATGTTCAAAACAAAAACAGAAATTGCTGGAAGACTCAACAGGTCTGGCAGCATCTGTGGATAGAAATCAGAGTTAACATTTTGGGTCGACCCTTCCTCAGAACAGGCCATTTGACTTGACAGGTTAACGCCGATTTCTCCCCACAGATGCTGCCAGACCTGTTGAGCTTTTCCAGCAATTTCTGTTTTTGCTTCCGATTTACAGTGAAGTAGTTCTTTCAGTTTTTATTACAGACTATGTCCAAATGCAGTAAGAACTGGACAATAACCAGGTTTGATAGCAAGTGACTTACATGCCAGTCAATGACCATCTCCAGTGAGAGAGAATCTGACCCTCCCTGATATTCAATGGCAAGACCATCACTGAACATGACTCCTGGATAAACATCCCGGACATTACCACTAACCGGAAACTGAACTGGACCACCCATTTAAATACTATGGCTACAAGAGCAGGTCAGAGACTTAGAATTCTGCAGTGAATAACTCACCTCCTGACTCCCTAAAGCTTGTCCTGTCTCGAGAAGTCTGGTGTGTGATGGATTACTCCCACAAGTATAGATGAACACACCTCCAACAGTCATGAAGTTTGACATCATCCTGGACAAATCAACATGCTTGACTGACGCCACATGAACAAACATTAACTCTCTTCACCATTCCCAATGTTCAGTGGTAGTCATACGTATCATTTACAAAATACAGTGCAGAAATTCACCAAGGTTCCTTAGACCGTTATTATCTAGAAGGTCAAGGGCAGCGGATACATTTGAATATCACCACCCGCAAGTTCGCCTCCAACCCACTCATCATCCTTACCAGGAAATACACTGCCATTCCCTCAGTTTTGCTGGTTCAAAACTCTGGAACTCCCTCTGTAACAGCAGGTTGGGCAAACTACACCAAATGGACTGCAGTGGTTCAAAAAGGAAGTTCATCACCACCTTCTCAAGGGCAACCAGGGATGGGCAATAAAAGGTCAATATATCTGCATCCCATGAAAGAATTAAAAAGATGGAACTAGAGGTTGGTGGGAAAAACAGGAGGTGAAATCAGATAGTTTGTGGAAAGTCAAGATACTTTCCCTCCTGACGAAATGTAAGGACAAACAAACCTAGAGCTCCTTGGATGACAAAGGAGAAAGAAATTAACTCAAAGAAACAGAGTGGTCACAACAGCTGTCAGGTTGTAAATACAATTTAGAGCCATGTTGAACTGAGAAGCTTCAGAATGGAGTTAAATAAATAAATAAATGCATTCAACTAACAAAATCAGACGGATTATGAAAAAGATTGGCAGTTAGTCCGAGCAGAGATCCCGAAGTCTGCCATAACCTCATCAATAGTTAAAAGACGTAAAAGGAAACGCAAAGAACATTGGGGACCCAAAAGGAGGCAAGCAACGTGCTTGCAGTTTTAAATGAATAGTTTGCATCTGTTTTTACCTACAAGGCAGATGCTTCCCAGGCCATGATGACAGACGAAGAAATTCAGTCACTAGAAGGGCATAAAATAGATAAAGAGGTGTTTTTGGAGAAGTTGTTGGTACTTAAAATTGAAAAGACACTGGGACCTGATGAAATGTGTCAATGAATACCGATAGAACTGAGGTGGGAAATGCACAGACACTGATAATAATCTTTCAATCTTCCTTTGCTGGGAGGTGGTGTCAGAGTACTGGACTTAAGAACAAATTGTCACGATTGGTCTGTAAATACTGGGCCTGTCAGTTTAACTTTGGTACTGTGAGCACTTTTGAAAACAGTTATTCAGGATGGACGTGATAGATGGACAAATGTGGTTTAGTTCAAAAGTGTTAGCATGGATTTGTTAAAGGGAATGTGTGTCCAACTTGTTGGTGTTTTTGAAGAACTAGCAGAAAGGGCTGGTGATGGTAAGGCTGTTGATGTGATGCACATGGATTTCTGATACACTGCCACACAGACTTGTGAGAAAAGTTCAGTCAAGGAATAAAACTGACAATGCCAGTGTGGATACAAAATTGGCTGAGGGAATGGGAAACAGAGTCAGCTGAATGGGTATTTTTCAGACTGGAAGAAGGCTTCTAGTGATGTTTCTCAGGGACCAGTACTGTAGATGACATAAAACTTGGGAGAATTGTAAACTGTGAGGAAAGCAGTGAAAATTTCAAAACGACATTGGCCAAGGTAGATTGGGAAGATCGTTGGCATTTAAAAGAGAAGTTTGAGGTAATGAACTTTGCTACAAAGAATATGGAGAGACAGTATCAAATAAAAGAATAAAGGGTACAATTCCAAAGGGTGTGCACGAATTGATGGGCCTGGGTTTCTAGGTGTTTAACTCATTAAAAGGTGGCAGGACAAAATACAGAAAGTTTTTAATAAAGCCTACAGTATTCTAGGTTTCATTAACAGAGGCAAAGTATTCAGAAGCAGGAAGTTATGCTGATTTTATCTAAAGCACTGGTTAGAATGGGAGTTCTGTGTATAGTTCTAAACATTGCACTTGAGAGATAATGTGAACGCATTGGAGAGAGCGCAGAAGCAATTTACAAGAATGATTCCAGGATAAGAAACTTCATTTAGGGGAGTAGATTGGAGAAGTTGTGACTGCTTTTTCTTGGAGATGAGAAGGCTAAGAGTAGATTTGATACAGATTCTGAAAATCATGAGGGGTCCAAACAAAATTGAAAGGAAAAATTGTTCTTGCTCACAAAAAGGTCAAGTATGGAGGACACTTCTTCAAAGCGATTTGCAAAAGAGGAAAATGAGAAATAAGAAAATATGATGACCTGGAATGCGCTGCTTGGATGTGTGGTAGAGACATGTTTAACTGAACGATTCAAGAGATTTAAACGATGATTTAAATAGAAACAATGTACAGGATTTTGCGAAAAAGGCAGGGGATTAGTGCAAAGTCAAAATGCACACAGGGCTGGTTCATACATGATAAGTTAATGGCCTTCTTCTGCACCATAACAATTTTGTTTTTCTGTAATGCTGAATGTGGAGAAGCTGTTTCCACCTTTGGGGTAAAACTAGAACAAGGCACAAATAGGACAGCTGCCAATAGGGAAAATAAACAATTTGTGAAAAATGTATTTGCACAGATTGATGAAAATGTCTAACACAAAACCAAATGGAACAGGTCAAGTGGATAGCATTGATATGTTTAAGAGGAGGTGTGATGCAAGCATGAATAAGACAGGGAAAAATAAATATAGCAGTACAGTAGAAAAGCCTTGTATGAGTTATAAAGACTGGAATAGACCAGACGGCATGAATGATCTGTGCTACACATTCTAAATGCTTTTAAGGCATTAACATTGTACATTTTAACACACAACAACCCGGAATCAATTTGGAGAACAAGTATCATGTCTAAAACTAAGATGTCCTTCAAATGTTTTGCTAATGCCTGGTGGATCTCGTCAATGTGTTATTCTGAAAAAGGATCCTGGTATTTTTATGTCATTTGACTTATTATAGCTCACTTTTAAGTGGATATGTGTAATCACAACAACGTCATTTTTTTTTGCAAAATCTGAAAGAGGGATTCTGTCAGAAGCCCTTATAGTACATTAAGATTGCGTGTTCTTGCTAATAGGTTTAGGAACTTGGAGAATTTAGAACTATGAACCAACAAGCTGCTCTCCAACAAAATCAACTGTCAACTGCCAATGAAACACCCTGAGACTGTTTCAAACTGCCAAACCTGGGAAATCTCACAAGCAATTGAAGTATTATTGGTCAGACATGTCCAGAATGGGAAAAGTGGTTTTTACTAAACATACACCACGCTTGACAATAGAAACTAAATTATAAAAGAAACATACAAACCTCCATTCCATGTCCAAGTCTTCACTTACACTTGAATCATCTTCAAAGTTGTTGTTATCATCCAGAATTAGAAGTCCTGAATGTGCAAGTTGACCCAAGCCTTCAGTCTCATCAGTACTATTGCTGCTGCTGTCACTTTCTTCATTAAATGCTACCCAGGGGATCTCCCCTTCTTCCAAGGAGGTTTGTTCCCTACGGAAACAACAACATAGTTGTAATGCATGAAGTCAACTATTTGCGTTAAGTAAAAGGCGGCTGAGGAGAGAACCCTTACTTCACAATATGGAGTAAAGGTGTCTTCCACTTCATATTTTATTTTGTTATTAGATGCATCATTTATGATTTCCTGAAGCTCTACATTCAAGAATTAAGCCTCCTGATTGAAAGATTTCAAGTATCACCATTAGTTAAGGGACCAAGGGACAAGAATGGAAACTGCACACTAGTCAATATCAGCTGCGAGAAAGTTACTAAAATCTACTGTGTCAGTTATGGCTCAGTTACTGGCACTGTATCCCTGAATCAGAAGGTTATGAGTTTAAGTCCCAGTCCAGGAACTGAGCAGGCATATCAAGATTGATGTTCCAATATACTGTGTACTGCACTGTTGGAGGTGCAGTCTTTTCATGTTAAACCTACATAGCAGTAATAGATTCCCATGGCATTATTTTGAAAAGAGGGGCAATTATTCTGTTTTTCCTCTATCGACTTCTCAAAAACAGGTTACTTGGTTATGGTTACGTTGCTGTTGTTAGATCTTACTATGCACAAACTATTTATTCCATTACAACAGCAACTATACCCTATTTCAATGGCTGATAGGTGATTGGGTCATCCTGTGATCTTGAAAAGTGCTACCTAAATGTAACGTTCGTGATGGCCTACTAGCATTATTGCTGGACTGCTAATCCTGAGACCCAGATAAATGTTCTGGAGAATCCTGACATGGCAGATGGTGGAATTTGAATTCCATTAAAAAAAAATCTGGAATTAAAAGTTCAATTATGACCATGAATCCATTGTCAATTGTTAGAAAAATCAAGGTGGTTCACTCACATCCTTTATGGAAGGAAACTGCTGTCCTTACTTGGTCTGGCCTACATGTGACTCCAGACCCGCAGCAATGTGACTGACTCTTAACTGTCCTTTGGGCATTTAGGGATGGGCAATAAATGCTGCCTAGCCAGTGATGCCCTCAACCCATGAATGAAAAAAGAAAAATAAAGCACTTAGGTCAGTATGAGCTGACCAAAGAGAACCAAAAGGCATTTATGAAAATAAATTATGTTGTTTCATGCCAGTGGGTAAATGAGCACCTATACATGTTGTCTACATAGATGTCTAGAAGGCATTTGATAAAGGTTCCACATAGGACATTAGCAACATCAACAAGAGCACACACAACTGAAAGTAATCTTTGATATAGATTTGGATAACAGCTTTTGGAATAGTCATGCTTGCCAGAGATATGTGCTGGAACCTCAGATTTTAACATACATATAACTTGGGTGAAGTAATAGTTATAAATTCAAATTTGAAGAGAACACAAACATTGGAAGTACAGTTTTGCACAAATGGCGCATAAAGTAACAAAGGGGTTCAGAATGGGCAGGCTGTGGAGCGAGCTCATATGGAAAGTGTGAGATCTCTAGTTTGAATTCAAGACAGGCAAAATAAAATCTTTCCTTAATGCCGAGAGCTAGGAGCTGTGGAGGAGCAATGGAAATTTGGCTTCTAGGCATAAAAGTCATTATAAACTAGTACACAAAGATAAAAAGTAACAGTCAATGAAATGTTGGCCTTTAAGCACAAGATCTGTCTTGATTTTAAGTTTCATGGAGGTCAAGGTTTTCCAATATTACATAGATGGATATTACTTATTGTCATACAACCTCAGACCACAGAAAGAAGTCTGTGAAAAACTCATCAAATTAGTTCACAATGCAGTCTCTTAAAAATTATATCTAAAATTTAAAATCAAAAAGAAAGTTATCCAACAATTTGTTTTTTTTTGGGGGGGGTGGGGGAAGGGAAACGAGATTTTGGTGTGTGTCTACATGTGTGGGGCACCCAGTACCACGGTCTCATTTTACTCCTTTCATTGAAGCTGCAATCTTTCTCAATTGCCATGGAAAATATGAAGGATTCCTTCTTGAAACTGTTAAATCAGAGACAGTTAGCTTCATTGCGCTTTAACACAGATTTTCTCAAGCAATTTTCTTTAATTAATAGTACTCCACACAGTATAAACTACATTTTGGCATGAAATTGGTGACATTAACTTAGTCCAGGTACACATTTTGCTTTCTGACTTTCTCCCACCAAATAAAAAATATCAGACAATTGCTCACTTTTAGAAGTAACTTTCTTGGCAATTCAAAGTTAATGTCCTGATTTAAATGGTATCAATATTAAGCCTCTTACAACGACATTCTGCAATGCTAGCAGTCTAAACAGAAAAATTACTAGATCCTACGCAACAACTGCAGTAGGTAGTTTAGGCCCTGAAGCCTGTTCTGGCATTTAATGAAATCATGGTCAATCCATTATCTAACTTCACACACCTGTCCAATTTGCCTAACACTCTTCAATACAAAAAATTAAATCTAGTTTAAAACGTACAGTTGATTTAGCAATAACTTCCATTTGGAGAAGTGGATTCAAAACGTTTCCTAATTTAGCTTCTGATGGGTCTTGCTCTCATTTTAAAAAAATGCATCCCTACTAGTAGGTTCACCAACTACCAGAAATAATTTCTACATATCCTGTCCACTCCACTGAATATCTTGGGAACTTAATCAAATCACCTATTAAACTCCTGAATTGCAGACAACTCAATTAGTGTAACCTCAACGCTTCATAATTTAGCCTTTCGATTCCATTGCAATCTGCACAAATGAAATTCCATCTACAAGATGCACTGCAACAACTCACCCAAGCCCTTTTGACCAAACCTTCCAAACCCACAAACTCTACCAGTTAAGCAACAGCAGCAGCAGATGGATGGAAACAAAACCACTGAGCTCCAAGCTCCACACCATTCGGCTTGATATTATATCATTCTTTCAACGATGCCAATTCAAAATCTTGGAACTCTCTTCTTAACAACACTGTGGGTACACCCCAAAGCCTACAACGATTCAAGGCGGTGGCTCATTACCATCCACTTGAGAACACTTGGACATCACTGGCTAGATGATTTCTACATTCCATGAATGACAGCTGACAGCAGGCCTACACCCAATTCCAATTTTTAAATTATAGCCTTGAAAAGCACAGCAGTCAACTAAGTAAACCTTGGTTAAACCTCATCAGGTATCCACTTCCACCTATCATAATATTAAGGAAATTGAACCATTTGAAGGTATAAAAAAATTACAAGGGTGATACCAAAACATAGCTTTTCCCATACATAATATCCATAACACGTAGGAACAAAAATAGGCCGTTAAGCCCATTGAGCTTGCTTTGTCATTCAATAAGATCATAAGTCTCATTAGGAAAAAAAGACTGAACTGTTTTGTGTTCCTTTCCCTTGGGGATTCAAGAGAAATTGAGAGGTTATCTGATACAAGTCTAAAGTTTATGAAAGGGTTTCAAAGGATACAAAAAGAAAATTATGGAGTAAAATCTAAACTTAAGAGTCCATAGATGCCAATAGGTGCTGGGTACCAAGAATTCCCTAATTGGAGGACAATTACAATGTAAAATATGCCACCAAAAGTAAACTGTAGTGACAGAAAAGCAGATAAATATAAAGGAGAAAAGAATGAAAGGTTATGCTGATAGAAATCAATGAGGTGGCTCAGGAGGTAGAAGGACTGGTATTTAACATGCTTCTGCAAGTTCTGTGGAATTTTTTTGTAGATAAAACAATAAAATATACTATAAAAACCAGTTGCTTGTTTGTTAAATCAGGTGCTCATCCATTTATTTAATACAGTAATAAATGGCGATCTTACATACTACACATTAAAAGCTTTTTAATCTAGTACAGGGGTGTCAAACTCAATTTAGACAGTGGTGTTAGACATTCTAGCACTTTGCACGAGCCACGTTGAGTGCAAGTTGTTTTTGAATGCTTCACACTATTTTCTGTGCAGTACAGGCACGTTGCACGGCAATTTTTGAGTGGGAGATCCTACATTTAAGTCCCACTTTCCGGATACACCTAACTTTGGGTCCCAACATATCCTCAAGTCCCAATCCTTGGGTCTAACATTTTTTCATCAACTCAATCTCATTTCTGGTCACCACTTACGTTGGCACAGCGAGCCAGCATACCGGTGCAAGCCTGAGGGGGAGAAAGTGTGATACCACAGTGAGAATCAACACTGTTACACCAGGTTTAAAAAGGATGCAGTCCTCAGTCTTAGCTTATGACCCATGACCCAAGTAATATTGTATCACAAATTCCTTTCAGTCCATGTTTTATATGTTTGACACCCCTGTTCTATGACTTTAGAGGCTTAAAATTAAATACAATGTCTGGATTATAACTGGAGGTAGGTGCATACCCTACAGTGAAGCAATGTTTAAAAGCTTCTTCATCCAGACTGCTACTAATGCTGTTTGGTTCAGTTTGTTGTTCATCAACTCCTGACAAGGTCTCCCAGCTCTCATCACTAGAATGCATCTGTTCTAAAACGAAATCAGAGGTCCATATTGCTGACCACTCCTCATCACTGCTTAGAGAGCTGCTTTTGAGGGGGAAGTAAAGTGAGGGAAAATTAGTTCATTAAAGTACACGCCATCTACATACACATTTTCCCCTAACAATTGCAAAAACTGTTTTAGTAAATTTAGTCATGACTAGGTAACTTAAAAAGCTGTATATGCAGAGTTGAATAAAGAGAAATATTAAAAACTGTTATTTTGTTATTAATTTGATGGACAATAGCTAAACGTTTAGCTTGGTTGTCAATTTAGAGGAACACAAAATGAAATTCTTTACTGGTTGTGATGCATTTACAACCATTGAATAAAAGTTTCATACGAATAAATCAACTTTCATACCCTTCAGGGAAGCAATAGGCATGACATTTTATTACCTCGTTTCACCTTTGTTACAATAATTTTCAAAGTCATCCCAGAAGCTGTTTTCTTCCAGCGTTTCTTGTAGTTGGATGGTGGCCTGTTCCTTCTCAACACCAACTGTTTCCTTGCCATTAAGTCCAGATCCGATCTTTGAATCTCTATGGAGTTTATTTCTGCAGTTCCACAAGGCAGAGTTTGATCCACAGCACTCATTTCTTGAATTGGCTTTCATATCCCCAGTACAATAACTACCAAACTCATCAGGGGAAGATAGATCTCTTTTAGAACAGGTTTCAACTCTTTCCTTTCTAACTTTTGGTCTTACTACCATTTCTGAAGAGCTCGGTTCCTCTGTCATACAACAGAAAATGTTTCCTTCCGTTTGAATGCTCAGTGAGGCTTTATCAAGATTTCTTTCTCTTTTTTCTTTTACATCCTCCATCCTGACATAGCTATTAATTTCTTCCATATTTCCAACTGCTGGTAATATTTTCCTATGCTCTTTCAATTCAGTTTGATGTCCTTTAACACCAATGTCTGCAGAAGTCAAATCGTCCAATGCCAGAGAGCATGGTAGATCAATCTGTGGGCTGTTACCATCGTGGATTACAGCTGAGAGATACGACTGTAACCCATTAAGATAGTCAACACCTTTCTCTAACTCTGAAAGCATGGTGTCCAACCTTTTCTGAAGTTTTCCTTCTTTTTGCAAAGATGCTTGAATGGTTGAATCTTCATCCTCTCCTTCACTGCTTTCTGGTTCATAAGAGTCAATATTTACAAAACCAATGCCAGTTGGACTTCTGGAATCAGTCTCAAAAAAATCATTAGGAATTGACCACTTGGAGGGCCCTGTACTTTGGCTACCTGAATAATTGTCTAATGGCTCTGTAGCACTGGGCAAAGCAAAGTCATTGGACTCACATTGAAAAAGTCTTTGGTTCAGAGATGATGGCAAAAATCCATTCTCTTTCTGAGGTTCACAACCTGCATCCCTTTTAGTATCCATAGTTAGGTCATACGCTGTGGATTGCGGCAGAAGTTCATTTGTTGATAAGATTCTACTGGGAGCTGAGAGAAAAAAAATTAACCTTAAGTAACTTGAAATTCAAGATTATATCAAACTACAGTCTTCTGAATATTACAAAACGCTCAATGTGTCTAAAATAATGGTGATTCACCTACTTTTGGTACAACTCACAAACTAATTAGTTCAAGGATTAATTGTTTAGATTGAAAAGAAAGCAAATGTGTACATTGTAAAAATGAAATAGTCAGAAGACTTATTATTCAAGAATGTAAATGTTCCTAACCTCTGACACTGATCCCAAATTTGTAGTCATGGGGAGATAATTTGCCTTAAGTAATGTGATTAGTGCTCATGTTACCAAGGTTGTACTTTGAGCATCTCTCTGCCCAGAGGCAGAAAACTTCTGTATGCAAAGCAGGGCGTGGTAGGACAAATTATTTCTGCTTATTTTAATTTCACATCAAGGTTCCAAGTCATGATCAAAAACTGAATAGTTAGATCACTCTTTTAAAGTTCAAAACAGCAAAATCGATTGCTTCTATGGTAACCCAGTCTGCTCATGTGCCGCTAAGTTTCAGGTGTGGAAATTCCTGGCGTGCAAACCAGTCCATGTTCACTCCTATATCACTGTTCTTGTTTGGAGTAGGTGAAAGATACAAAGAATCAGGCTGTTGCTTCTGGTGTCTCAGAAGTTGCACAAGCAGACTAACATATCTTCAAACCAAAAACAAGGCAAGGTCAGATATTCAAAAGTACATTCACCAGCGTTCATTAATTCGATAAGAGATGTTGAATCTTGAAGGAAGTCTACCAAAAAATTATTTCTAATAGGCACATTTATTCACAAATGAGGAAATGAACTATAGTTGGGAATATTTTAGAAACAGTGACCACCAAGATGATTAGATTTCAAATCAACTATACAAATGGAAACTGAAAAATACAAAAAAAAAAATCAAACTGCAGGATAACCATGTACTAAGAAACAAATGGTAATGAACAAAATTAATGTTGTTGATAACAGGAGCTACGCAAAATTACAAGCAATAAAAAATTGGCATGTGTAAATTCAATACCTAGAGCAAAAGACATGGATGAATATTAGGCACAAGTAAAATATGAACAGAATATATTTACAAAGATGTTTTGAGTAAACAAGATGGTTAAGGGAACAGAAGCATCACAACAGAAGAACAATTGGAAATAACCAAATACTCAAAATCCTAAATGACTAATTTGTATCTATGTTTAAGGGCGCAACAGCACAGAACAAGCATTTCCATGGGAAAGCAAAAATCCATAAAATCAAATACAAAATTCAAGTCAAATGGCAGGCAAGTCGAGTACTCTAAAACAATCAGTCACATATCCCAAGCTAGCTTTCTATTGATGAATGCAATGAAAGCTGTAGGGGTTACATACAAAGAATAATGCAGATGCCCTGAGGAGGAGATGGAATTCTATATTTTAAAAACTGGCTATAAGGAATGAACCTAAAAGTGTTTTGGTAGTTTTAATCCTGTTGCGGTTCTGAGTAGTGATAGGCCAACAGTAAAAAATGATACTTCAAAAAGAGTGCAAATACAGGAACTCTGCAACAGAAGATGGTTGAAACACCCAGCTGATCAGGCAGCTTCTGACCCAGATGCTGCTTATGCCTATAATTCAGCATTGATTGTCAATGTCATATGAAGAAGTCAAAAGACAGTTGTAGGACACAGAAGAACGTTATACTGGTGCAGTAGAAAGTGTATTTTTCTATTCTTCCTGATAAAATGGATAAGCACGTACTTTGCAACATTAAACTCCTGCCAATTTTTTGTGTACCTGTTTAGCCTACTTAAATCCCCTTGGAGATTCTTTATCTCATCTTGACAACCTATGTCCTATCTACTTTTATATCATCAGCAAATGTAGCAAAATTTCAATCCCTGCATCGAAGTCATTGATACAGATTGTAAATCGTGAGGGTTTAGCACAATCCCCGTGGCATTCCACAAGTTGCAGTTTGCCAATGCTTCTTAAAATGTATATCCCTACTCTCTGCTTCGGTTAGCTAAACAATCCTTTATCTATACCAATGTGTTTGTTATCTGTACACCATGTGCTATAACCCCATGTAATAAACTTTGATGTGGCCAAAAATCAAAACTAAAATACCAACTGCAATCCACATACACCACATCTACAGATTCCCCTTAATTAACTCCTCAAAGAATGCTAATAAATCAAGCCTGATTTCCTTTTCAGAAAAGTATGCTGACTTTGCCTGAACCCATTATGATTTTCTAAATATGCTACTATAACTTAATAAAGGTTTAAAAAAAAAATCAATAAATCCTTAATAAAAGGATTCTAGCAATTTGTTTATTATAGATACGTCTTCCAAAAAGTCTTAAAACTCAAAATTTTCACTTTGTTTCTCTCCACAAATAGTCATATCTGCTGACTTTCTCCAGCACTTTCTGTTTTTAGTTCAGATCTCTAGTCTCCATAATACTTTGCTTTTATTTATCTCTATTATAGATGTTAGGTCAACTGACCTTATTTTCTCGAATAAAGTGTTACATTTGTTATTTGCCAAACTTCTAAGACTCTTCCAGAATCTAATGAATTCTGGAAGATTATAACCAATATCTTTTATCTGAAGCCAATTATGTCTGCACCTGGGGACTTGTCAGCCTTTGGGTCTAAAGATTTTCCACATAGCTTTTTCCTGATGATGGTAATTGTCTTAAGTTCATCCCTCCTATTCACCTCTTAATTCTGAAATATTTTTGGAATGTTTAGTAAGTTTTGCATTATGAAGTCAGACCTGAAATAACTGCTCAAGACCTTCACAGTTTCTTTGTTTACCCTCATTAACTTTCCAGATTCACACTCTGAAGAATCAACTCTAGTTTTAGTTATAACTATTGCCACCACCCTCATCCTACCCAGTCCCCCACTCCTATTTGAAACACTTCCCTTCTGTTTGGTATTACTAGCTAGCACTGTTCCATACTCTACTTTCTTAGTTATTCTTTGCTGGTTCTTAAAACCTGACTTATCTTTTGACCTACTCCTAGCATATTCATACAGCATTTCTTTCAATTTGAAGTTTTTTTTAAAATCAACCTATTCAGACACTTTTAAGATGGGGCTTGAAACCAGACCTCCTGGCAAGTAGATAGGGACACTAGCATTGTGCTATAGTTACATCATTTTGATAAAATTCTTAATTTCCCTAATTAGCCATGGATAATGCATCCCTATTATCAATGGACACAGCAGGCCAAGCAGCATCATAGGAGCAATGATGCTCCTATGATGCTGCTTGGCCTGCTGTGTTCATCCAGCCCTACACCTTGTTGTCTCGGATTCTCCAGCATCTGCAGTTCCTACTATCTCCTATTATCAATGGGATAGGTTTGTGCTGAGTTATTAAATACCTCCTTAAAAGTATACCACTGAATCTCCACTGTTGTACCTTGTAACCTCATTTTGCAGTACATTTTATTCACTCTGCTTCCATATAATTTTAATTCAGGTTTAAGGCACAGTTCTTAGATCCACACTTCTCCCTTCTGAACTGAACATAAGATCATCGATTAATCCTGTCTCATTTTTCAATACCAACTATAATAGCTTCCTTCACGGATGGCTCTAAGAAACTGCCACAATTATATAATTTTCCAGGCCACCTTTGCCAATCTGATTTGCACAATGTGCAGGTACATTAAAGTCACCAATGAATGTTGTGATACCTTTCTTACAAGTCCCAGTTATTCCTTCATGTATATTGTGTCTCTCAGTGTAGTTACTGTTGGATGCCTACAGCTAATACACATGACCTCTTAAACTTTCTAATGTTTTATTTTTACCCAAATTGCTTCTGTGCCTCTCTTTTGAGTTAAAGTCACCTCTCACTGCTATAGAAATGATATCCTTAAACAGAACAATCCATCACCTTGTAATACCTTCCCAATCCTTTCAAAATGTTAGACATCCTTCAATATTCAGATCCCAGACTTGGTCACCCTGCAGTGTAGGAATAGAGAAGTCTTATTGCGACTGGACAAGGTGCTGATGTGACTTCATCTGGAGCAGTGAGCAGTTTTGATCCCAATTTGAGAACTATGGGGACAAGAGTCTTTATGTATATTTAAGGCCGAGATAGATTCTTTATCAGCTGGAGAATCAACAGTTACGGGGATTGTGAAGGAAAGTGAACGTGAAGAATGTTGGATTAGCTATGAACGGCAGCTCCCATATCAATGGAAACAAAATAAGACAACCACAAGAACTAGACGCTGATAAGCCAGGGAATGACAAGTAACACGAACATAGAAAGTAGGACTAGAGGTAGTCCAGACAGCCACTTCCATCTGCTTCACTATTCAATAAGACCAATAAGATATAAAATATTCCCAATAAACTTTCACACCCTTTTTTAATGAGAATCTATTTATGCCTGCAGTAAGAATATTGAAAGACACTGCTTCCACCTCTGCTGACAGATAATGCAAAATGATTACTGCAACAAAGGCAATAATTCAAGTTAGATGGGCTAATAAGTGGCAAATAACATTCAACCCCCACAAGTTCCAGGTAATGATCATTTCCAACAAGAGAGAATCTAACCATCTGCCCTTGACAGTCAATGTACTACCACTGCTGAATTCCCCAATATCAACATCCAGGGGGTTACTAGAAACTGAACTTGACCAGGCATATACTGTGACTGCAAGGGCAGATCAGAAGCTGGACTGCTGCATCAAGTAACTCACTTCCTGACTTGAAAAAGCCTGTCTACCATCTACAAATCAAAATACGATAACATGTCTCCTTGCCTGGATGAATACAGCTCCACAAACACTCAAAACACTTAAAACACTCAGAACAAAGCAGACAATTTGTGTGACACCCCATCCACCACCAACAGTGGCAAGCAGGTATATACTATCTACAAGATGCACTGCAGTCACTCACCATAGCTCCTGACAGCATATTTCAAAATCAGTCTTTGGCACTTAGAAGGATAAAGGAAGGAGATGCAGGTGAGCAACACCATCTGCATATTCCCCTCCAAGCCATATGGCATCCTGACTTTGAATTATATAACCGTACATTCACCGCTGCTGCATCAAAATTCTGGAACATCCTTCCGAACAGGAATGTGCGTTTACCAATACTTCCTTACCATCCCAAATGCACTGTAGGGGTTTAAGAAGGCAGCTTAGGAAAGGGCAATAAATGCTGACCTAGCCCACAGCCTGTGAACGAAAAAAAAAATCACACACACCACACTAAAAGTGCCTGGCAGCTGTAATAGACAATTTATCAAAACTACTAACAATGAAGGAAATAGAATATGGAGGTGAAAAATAAGTTGTTACTGGTTGATTGTTGACAGCTTCTGGGTATGCCTAAAACAATTTCTCATTACAGTTGTGAAAGTGGCTGTAAGTTAATGAATTTGTAGAAAATGACTGAAGTGATATCAGCATTTCAACATTCAATGCAGTTATTGCATGCAATACAGGATGAGGTCTGTACTAAGAATGGAACCTGAGCTTACTGTATGATGCACATACAAAGCAAAGCAAGCTGATTTCCAACGTGACCCCATTTTAATTCATCACCACACACTGTCAACAGCAATTAGAAATGGGCAACAGCTGGCTCACCAACAATGCCCGTGAACCCAAGACCAAATATAAAAACGCTTGAAAATTAATGTGACCCCAGGTGCCAGCAATGGAAAAAGAGTAATAAAAATGACATATATTTAATCTCAGAAGGCAACTTCGGTACAATCCTCTCTTCCCACCCGTGCTGTGATCAAATCCATTCCCTCACTACATAATCAATCCTTTTTCCAACACCCTCATTCCACTCACTGAGCAGTCCCTCTTCCCAAACTCATGCTGTATGACTCTATAACTCTTTCCTCCTTACTCAATCGCAGCATCTCCACTTTGTGCCCAACTCACATCCTCCCTCTTCACTCATCTGACTCTTCCCTCACTCTCCACTCATTCCCACTACTCAACCCTACCCTGCCTCCACACCCACTCAAATCCACTCCATCATGCCCAACTGCTTCTCCATGCTCCCACTACCAGACCTCCCTGCCTTGCCTGGACCTGGCCCATCACTACTACTCCATCACTGGACGGCCATGGCTTCTCCTTGACTGGTGCCAAATAGAACACGCTGCTGGAGAAGGACGAGTCACCTCTGTAGAGAACAGGGCCTTGGGGCCCAGGGACACAGACTCTAGTAGGGCAGAAAGTGCTGCCTCTTCCATCACTGGATGCTTGGATAGCACCAAGGTCCCCAGTAGGCTGAGCAAAAGGTGGTGAAAAGTACTGACTGTTGCCGAGGGTGGATATGACTGAGACTGTCATCAGGTGGAATCACACTACCCAGTCCTGTAGTTAGAGCTGAAGCCAGAAGGCAAATGACTGGCTGTTGTGTTGGGACCAAATCAATTTGTTGGTAATTGGGCTCAATAGTCATGTCAGACTCCCACAGTGGAGGCAGCACCAGGAAGATGGCTCAGCACAGGAAGGCACTCCAAGGGTTGCACCACGAACAGCAGTTTCTGGGAACAAAGTCACTGCAACTCTCCATCATAAAAATCAAGTCAAAACCAAGTCAGAATTGGCAGATCACAGGTTGAAAGAGGAGTGATCCCCTGTTCAGACAGAAGTCAAAAAAAATTTAAATGGTGCAGTTCCATGACCCAAAAATCCGAATTATGCCAAAAATTGCAAATTTTTCATCTAAACTCCACAATCCACATCCACGTCTACGTCTACATCCAAAGTCCACAAAAAGCTCAGGAGAATTCTGGTTGGGCATTGTGGTTTTGTCAACATGCCAAGAATAAATACAGAAGTCTTTACAAGTATAGATTCAAATTCAGGAGGGAAGTTGAACAGATAATTTTGACTTAACCAATGAGTAGTTAATATACGGTATTATGCAAGGAGGAAAAAGGAATTGTAATTTAAGGTAGTACTGGATAAATTTTTAATATCAAAGAAACAGAACTATCAGCAAATACATAACATTTTCTAACCATTGACATCAACTAGGTAACTCTCCACAATGATCCATTAAAGATCTTGGACAGTATGGGTACTGACCTCTCTCTTGTGCAAAGTAATCATTCCACCATTTCAGCAAACTCCCAAGGCCGTCCCAATTCTATATATTCACATTTTCTGACACGTGTGTACCTGTAATTTCCCACTAGAGGAGTATTCTTATTTTCAATCACACACTAATCTTTCTCTGAGACAGATGGAAAATAAGGGACCGTCACTTTAGTGTCAGACAATCCGTTGCAGACAGATGATTTTACTTTCATCAGCTGAGTTACATTTAAATTACCATCCCTCCAACAAATTTATATCAACCCACAGAAGACTTCAAACTAAAGCAACAGCAAATATTGTGAATTTTTAAAAGCTACCTGAATAATTAAAAGAATGTAGTTACAGGACATATACTTATTAAAAAAAAACTCTCAGTTGCCTCAGTTTTGAAGAAATATTTAAGGATGTCACAGGAAAGCATTTTTGAAGGAAACCCTCATCTCTTACGCCATGCAACAGACTACACTAAGCAATTTGCCAACAGCATAGTAATTGTGGCACAATGATAGTGTCCCCCACCAGAGGTCCAGGTTCAAGTCTGGCTGGTCCTGAGCTCTTGTCACAGCATGCCCAAACAGGGTGATTAAAAATAACTTTATACTAAGGCTCTTGTGATGCAGTGGGAACATTCCTGCCTCTGGACCAGAAGGCCCGGGTTCAAGTCCCACTTGCTTCAGAGGTATGCAATGACATCTCAATGGATTGATTGGAAAATGTCTAGAAACAAATTACAAAGATGCTGATCACTCCACATGAGAGATACAGAGGCTGTCTCAGCAATTTATTAGGCTCTTTAAACCTTGTTTAAAGCATCTGAAATACTCTAGAATACACTGACATTTCAGTAGCCAAATATCAAACAAAAATATTTACTCATTTAGCACAAATCACTATAGAAGAAATGAAAGTCCCCTGTCTATCAAGATGAATGGCAGCATTAGCTGCTGCTTACAAACTGTCCTGGTGAGCAAGAACCAGATGGCGTGTATGTGCGTGAGTGTGCATGTGCACATGCGTGTCTAGGTTTTCATATGCATGCAAACACACATGGATTAATTAATCTGTGACATATCAACTAAACTAGAGTTCATACATTGTAGGAGGTTGGAATCTTGGAG